ATTCCAGAATTGGGGAGGTAAGTACCAACATGAGATCCACAAACCTGCAGTTAACGTGGTGTTGTTATGCACATTAAGCAAAGTAATTAAATTTCCCAGGGCAAGAATATGGAAACAGGTGAGCTGACGTAATAAAAAATGACTGTGTAACAGGGGAATATACTTCAAGCAAAACATATACCCACTTTAACTTCCTTTTTATACATTTCCCAATTCTTTCAAAACTGAGGCAGCAGTAGGTCCTAAAATATGAGGGTCCAATGGCCATTCCCCTAGTATTACAATTTACAAGCAACAGATCAACATATTAAAACTAAATAAGGTAATCATGGTTCTTGTATTGTATAATGTAGGGGAGATGCCTTATTTGGTCTTCACATTTTTTATGGACTACGTGTTACTTTTTTCAAGCATGATTAATAATTGACCTCATCTTAAAAGTTTAGTTTGTTATGTAATTACTCAGGAAAAAGCATGTAGGACTGTGGGTTGAGTAACAAGAAACGCTGCAAAGGACCAAATCACCAAACCCAATACATCCCCAAGATACTCAAAATTCAACACCCAAAACCCTGTCTGATCTCAAGAATTTTGTTTGCACAACTGTTAAAGCTTGATCATATATTATTCTATAGTCTTTAAGGGAGTCACTTTTTAGATATGTAGGTCCCCAGGCCATCGTCTAACAAAGTTTGCTTCACGTGTTTAGCATACTTCTTGAGAACAGGTCAATTTGCCATCATTCCATGCAATAAAATAGTAAGACTACCTTGGCTTCCAAGTCAAGTGCTTTAGAAGCTAAACCTTCGAGCCACTGGACTATCCGGAGGCATAACTGTGCAGTATGGTCCTCTGCAACAAACTCACAAGCCACTAAATGAGACGTTCCTGGCACCTGGGATAAGTCAATCAACCTGAGTAAGCTGGAAAGTAAGCTATGAGAATAGGGCTTTTACTTTGACCAATTAAAAGAGGATCAAATGCACTACCATTACTAGCTCTTTAGGTAGTTCTTCAGTCACTGCAAAAGAAAAAGAACCATCAGATTAATTGCTCAAGAGATAAAGACAGCAAGCGTTGCAAACCAAAAGAGAACATGGCAGCTATAAAGTAGACACTGACAATAACATAATAACACAACAAAATTTAAAGTCTCCAATTTTAATCTACAGTGACATAACTCTTCCGGTATTGCATTGCATTTTATGAGTCTTCAATATGTATCAGACACAAGCATGGGTCTTCTGTTGAAGTGTCCGTGTTTCACAGAACGATAGCATGAAAAGAGGGAGTTGTGCAGCAGACCTAGCTCAGTTCAAATCTTTTTTGATATATTAAAGTAGAATCTATAGCAAGAATATGGATAAAGTGATTTACTCCAGATGAAACTCTAATATAAACCTAACTTATGGCAATTTCCAGGTTAAATTACGTGGCATCAAACACAGTTCATCACATCAAAAAAGGTATAGAGGCTTCCATAAGATTTCAGAGTAGTTAAAGGAATAACCATTTTTCCTGGATAAATTTCTAGGATAAAATCAGGAAATTCCTTAAAGAAAAGCACATACTGTGAACCAGTTAACTGGAAGGAATAATTATGATTCTCACTTTATAAATTCATCTTTAAAAGAAGAGAAAAAAGAAACTTCAGACTGGGAGGTATGAAATGAGAAAGATCACGGCTTAAAAACTTAAGATCCTACTCTCCTTGGATCTTCCTTCTCAAAAGCCAAAAAGAGAATTACCCAACTGAATATATGAAGTCTAACAAATAAAACATCAATAAAAAAAATTACATCATGGCAGATTCTAAGCCATATACATTATTTCTTTTCAGAAGTATAGAGATTTAAGGATAGAGATATATTTCCTTTCCCATAAAGGTACCACAGAAGAGACCAGGTTGCAGCCTCATCAAGCAGGAGCTGAGCTTTCTGCCTCATCAATTTATCCTCAACAACTCGATGCCTTATATTCAAACCATACCTACAGAAATCACAATCATATCACTAACAGAGTAGTTATCTAATGGATAAACAACAATGCCTCCACTTCTGATTGTAGTTCCAAGAAATATATACACATATAAGGCCAGGTCTAGTTGCCTTTTCTCTTAAACAACAAAAATAATTTCTCAGGGGAAAGAAACGAATTGCCCAGAGAAACACTGCTTCCCAAAATCTCAAACAATTTTCTCCTTACAAAACCATCAATATACAGCAAAGGCTCCAAATAACCCTAAGGAATCCGCTACTCAGGATCATACCCTCCCTCCAACACAGACGTGTATGTATAGGTATTTAGCTTCAATCAATCTCGTACTTCAACAAAGGACTATTATATATCTCTGGACTCTTAAGACAAACAACAGAAATTTCAAAAGACAAACCACACGGCAATCATATGATAAATGTAACATCACTTAAAACTTATGCATGCAAACGCTTGCATCAGAAAGGTTTTTTTGACACATGCTGAATAGTTGAGCACAAACCTGATAGACTCAGAAACACTTCTACATGCCTTCTCAAACTTTAATATCAGATCAGGAAAAGACATCAATCCTGTAAAAATATTCACCGTGAGTAAAACATCATTTTTCTTTTGGTAAATGAGAAACAGATGCACAAAAGCACATGATCATACACGTATCAGATTAGGACATCAATCCAGTAAAATTATACACCATGAAATTAAAATAAAACCAATCTTCTTTCTTTTGGTAAATCTGAAAAGATATGCACACAAGCATAGCATCTCACAACAAGAGCTCAAGAGGTCTAGAACTCCACCATGATTATGGTATGGACAACCTGTATGATCAAAAAATTGCAGAAATGGCTATGTTTCTCTTTCCTCCAATGAAATATTTTATTACCAAAGACAAAGGGAAAGCACAACGAGGAAGAATATAATATCTTGCCAAATACAACAGAAAGCAGAACAAAAGGAGGTCAATGATTACATCAGTACAATAAAGACTCCTGAATTTAAAAAGGTAATACTCTAAAACTAAGGGGATATGAACACAAAAGTGAAAGCAAGCAAATCACCCTATCCTAAAGCAAGGACAATAATGTTTCTTGTTCCTAAATGATTCTAACATAATTCTCCAGAAGCTTCGGGAAAGTGTAATATATGCCTGTGTGACGTCAAATTTCGAGCTTCAAAGAATTTCATTTTAGCAGACCAAACAGAAATAGAAGAAAGACACATAAGAATTGTACTAGAAGATATACTCACGGCACCTTGAAGAGATGAATCAAGCAGAGATGCAAATAATGTAAATATTGTTTCTGCACCATCTCCCAATGAGTCACCCTCTTGCTTACAAGCCTTCAGCGAGTGGCGTATAGAGTCAAACCAGAATCCACATCAGGGCCTCCATAAGTATCAGCAGGAAAACTTCTTTTGGTGGAAAACGGTGTCTTTCCAGGTGAAACTTCTGGATAACCAGCGTCAAGACTTTCAGCCTCTTGTTTAATATTTTCAAGGAGAAGTGCTGCATTAGTGGGACTATGGATGTTTTGGCCATCATATAGAAGGCCAGCTTGAAAGGATTTCGAAGCTGAGTTTACTGGTGGGGTTGAAGTGCTGGAAGGTGAGTGCCTTTTCCTGCATTAGTTGCATTAGAGAAAAGTTTAGATAAATTTACAAAACGCTTGTCAAAAAAATTCTCTAGAGTCAATATTATACAAGTTGAATTAATCAGGAATATTACTAAGTTTCTATCCCCCGGCACTAAATACTAGGTCGTCTCCCATATTCCACCTCCTTGTAATATACAGTACACTCCACCATCACGTTCACAAGTAGATTGAAGACAGTCACTACATCACATGTACGGGAATTTCAGTGCTTCATTTCAAAAGAAGTCATTAAATGAGTTCGTCATCCCTCCACCCCCAAACTCAATCATCCCGCTGAGTTCTTCCAACACCACTATCGGCAGAATTATAAAAATACCGCGTGAAACGCCAATATGGCAGTGGTAATTTAATAATCATCTTGTCACGCCCAGAACCATCAATGTACAACACTCAAGATTCTCCCTTCCAAAACTAAAACAAGCAAGCACGCCCACAATGCTGCTGAGCAATCAAAATATATCAGAGCTCAACTGTCAGATATAGACCTAATATTACCAATGACGGAATCACTCAACAATGCGGAATAATCCCTACGAAAATGGGAGCTCAGAAGAGCAGAAACAAAGAGCGCAAATAAGGAAAGCAGAAACATGAGCAATGAGATCTTGCCTGTATCTGCGAAAATCCTCCCTGATGGTGAGGTCTTGAGGATCGAAGTAGCTCGGCGAAGTTTCCATTTCAACGTCCATGGAGGCGTCGTCGAGAAGCGTATGGGAACCGTGGCCGATAAACCCTAAAGAGCGCGGGAAGTGGTGGTTGACAGATGATGTGGGTTCCGACTCGGAGGCTAGTCAAAACGGCTCAAACGCCGGTCATTCCGCCGCGCTGCAGACACACTCCGAAGTGCAAAGTGCCAAACCTTAGTACAGTCAAAAACCTGCGCGCCGTTTTGCCATTTTCATGTACTAATGGCTAATGATCAAATTTCATCAAAAACAAAAAAAATAAAATACAAGCTTCCTAGTTCTAATGATCAAATTTCATTTAACTGTAAGCTATTTTTAAATTTATTCTTAAAAAATATACTGAACTCTGAGTTTTCTCCTTCTTTTTTTTTACCCTCCTAAGTTTTTTCTTTTAAACTTTATAGAGTACTATAGCAATATTAAATTTCAGATAATCCATCATATTAATTAAGATTTTTTTTGGTGAAAATATGAATTAAGATTTAATTTCGTCTTAGTACAATGTCTTAAAATTTGTTGGATTTATGAGTAAAATTTGTACTAATATAACCGTTTTAAGATTTTGGCCTTAATTAATTAGGATGTAATATTTCCTAACCAAAAATGGCATCAAATGTTATTTATTCAGTGAGGGAAGGGCGACCTTATTGTTATCTGTAAATACAGCGTACTGCTGATGCTCGTTGAATCATCAAGCTCAGCACACAGCAATAGAAATCAATTTCCCAACGTTTGTTCTCGGTACCAGCACACAAATGGCGGTCGTGCTCCGTTGTTCCTGCTTCCTTTCTCGTCCTCACTTCCGGCAACCTCCGCTTCTCGACCAGTTTTCAGGCAACATGGGCCTCGTTCCTGGTCAGTGCTCCTGATCGGAGATGGTTATCTTATCTTCCCTGCAACGTCTCTGCTTCGCGTTTAGTTTCTTCGCATGTTCAGCGGCAATTCTGTTTTTAAGCCATGGTTTCGATTATGAACTTGAATACATTCCAAGTTGCTTTGGTTTGTTCTATATTCCCCCCTAGTCGTCCTTCATGATATGTTGTTTATTATTTCTTGAATGGCGGTGATTAACTTTTGTCTAAGGAGACGACACTGTAAAGGAAAAAGGGAGAGACGATTCTTAGTGTTGCTCCTTTTACTTCTTCATTTTGTGAAATATAGAAGACTTCTTTTTTTTTTCTTGTTAAAATTGGAATTGTCTATTTGAGATTTTGTTGTGAACCCAGATTAGCCGTGTTTCTTAGTCTTCCCTACTGGAAAATGTTTAGTTTCATGATTTCAAGAGGATTAAACTGTATTTGGTTGAGTTCCGGTTTTAGATATCAGTTCCTGACTTTTGTTATTGGTCAATTTGGTTACACTGCATCGCTAGGTATAATTAGCTTCCGCATTATGAGTGCATGTTCTCTTACATGTTGTTTCCAATATCATTCTTTATCATAGGCCTACTCTTTATCCTCAAACTGACATTCTCACTAAGTTTATCGAAAGAACGAATCTAAAGGTGAAAAATTAAGTCACTGTCTTATAGAATTATACTTCTTCCCTTGAATCAGGGAGATTTGTTTCTCTTTGGCTGAAAGTGGATAAGTTTGTGCCATTCATGAAAGTTACAGTTGCTAAGTCTTCTGAAACTCAGCCATTGCTGTCCTGCTCAAAGTGTCAGGTAAGATGGTGAGTTAAAGCACGTCTTCTGTTTGCCCTATCCTATGGTGTCAATTTTCATATACCTATTATTCTTACCAATGCGTTCTGCAGTTCTTTTGTAAGCATTTTTATTCGGAGTTTGATATACCCTCTTCGAACAACTTCCATTTCAAGGGGTCCAATTTGGATGCTGTTTTGTACATATTTATTGTGATAAATAAATTCATGATCGTGTTTATTTACCATATACTCTAAATGTTTTCTGGAAATTTAGGAATATGCACACTGTTCAATTGAAGGTGCAAGTTCTCCAAATTTGTTTTATTTTCAGCATTTTCCCTTCCTATTTTATTTAGACCCGTCTTGGTAAATCATTACGTTGGGCATCCTATGACATCTGATCAAAGTTATTTCTTCCATAGGAAGACAAAAACCTAATGTTTCCAGCAATGGTATTTCTTGCCGACAATATTTTAATGTTCTCCACCCCATGTAAAGCTCTGGCAGAAACATGTGAAGCTAATAACTCAGCTTTCGATATGCCCTTACTGCTGTCAGTAGCACTCATTGGGGCCACTGTTGGAGGTAAGATAATATAAAATTCATTATCACTATTTCAGGTATGTCCCGTACTGAGAAGGCTTAGCTATTTTTTATAATTTAGTAGGATGGTTGATTAGTTATCTCTTTGGTGAATCAGCTAATGCAATGATTGCTGTATCAGTAATTTTCTCCACAATTGCCAATTTTGAGCCCTGGGAAGCCGTCATCAAAGCTCAAGATGCGGCCACGCATAGCATGATGATGGGATATGCCTCTTGAAAGCTTATTTTTGTTTATCATGTATCAAATTCACTGGATATCTGCAGAAGGATTTTCTCTTGTGATAGAAATTTGAGTTGGAAGAAATTTTAAAGGAAATTAAATCCAAGTTGGAGTATGTCTTTATATATCTGATTCTGATTTGTATGTCCCAATTCACAAGTTAAAACTATTCTTGCTTCCTGACAAATGCCAGTATATATGTTCAATATAGACATTTAAAGATATGTAATATACAGTTCTTTCGCTGAGTTTATTGATCTTACAACAGGGCTGCTTGCTAGGCAACGGAGAGGGGAATTGAAGAGGCTGAATGATCAACTACGGCAGATCAATGCAGCTTTGAGAAAGCAAGCCAAAATTGAGTCTTATGCTCCTAGCCTGAGTTATGCTCCCGTTGGTGGTAGGATACTTGAAAATGAAGTTATTGTGGACCCAAGAAAGGAGGAGCTGATTTCCAAATTGAAAACTGGGAAGAACTTTCTAAGGAATCAGGAGCCTGACAGAGCATCTCTAGAATTTAAGATGGCTCTTGAGATGTCCCAGAATTTGAAGGATCCTGTCGAGGAGAAAAAAGCTGCTAGAGGTTTAGGTTTGTTATCTTCACTATTTCCTTATTTGTGTTTTCTTTGAGATGCTAATTGTCTGTCTGGTGAAAAGGCTTGGGCCTTAAGAGAATGTTCTATAAAAAGTGGAAAAATTTGACGACTTATATTGGTATACCACACAATCAAATTAGTAACAATTCACGGATGAGTGAGAATATGTTCCTTTGAATGTATCACGAATAGGAACTGCCGCACTTTACTCTTAAGAGTGCAATTTATATTGAAGAGCTTTAGTTTTAAAGTGAAAGCCCACAAGCAGTTATATAAACACACTCTTTTAGTCAGAAGGCTTTGTGGCCGTAGAATATTAACAGAAGATTGGTCTACCATATCTTTAGCTGGGCTTAATTCTAGGTTAAAAAAATGAGTGAAAAGGATCGAACACCGTATTACTTGGTTTTGGCCCTATATGTGTGTGTGCGTGCGCGCTTAGACTAAAATGAAAATCTATAGGTACTTTTGTATTATTACTTGGAGCTTACAACTACGACCCTTGCTTTTTACAGGAGCCTCACTGCAAAGGCAGGGCAAGTACCGAGAAGCAATTAAATACCATTCCATGGTGTTAGACATCTCTGAAAGAGAAGGAGAGGACTCTGGAAACACTGAAGCATATGGCGCAATTGCTGATTGTTATACTGAGCTTGGAGACCTTGAGCGAGCTGGTCAGTTCTATGACAAGTATATTTCAAGGTTGGAAAAGGATTAACTAATCATTCTGCCATGGTTAAGATTTCTTCTTCAATGAAATGATGACCGTAGAATTGTTATAGTTTACCAATGCTGGCATGTCACCACCATCAGTTGCCTGCGGAATTTTCAATTCTTTCTTTCTACATTTATTTTAGTTGAGAGTTCTGTATCATTATGACTGTAAACTCGTGAAAACTTTATTGGCCGAGAAAAATCTATAAGAACTCTAGGGGCTGTCTGCGTTTGTATGATATCTTCTGAAATACATCGTGGGGAGGCAGAATTTAAGAGTTAATGGCATCTAGAGATTTCTAATACTGACAACGGGCGCAATTTTGAACGGCACTCGTAACGTCTTGCGAGCTGCAACAGCTGCAAGTGTTAGTCGGTGAATAAGATTACGATATTTCTTGGGCACCTCCATGGGTTGGCTCGATTAATAGGAGTTTAAATGCTCAGCCATAACTAAAATGGATATGCAAGTGTAATAATGCACGTATTATTGACAACTCAAGAATTGTTTAGCATTTTTGTCAACTACCACTATGAAGCCTAGCATGCACAGCTCTCAATTCGCCACATTAGTCTGCTCTCAATTTAGAACGAAAGGAGAAACAATTTCAGTCAAAGATCCTCCGACGAAAAGAAACCAGTAGCTTTTGGGACGCGAATTCTGAAGCATAACATCATTCGCTAACAGCAAGAAGAACACGGGCCCATACGCGACAAGTGGATGTTTCATGCAATTTCTCCCAAAGACATTTCGTCTCGTAATTTTATTTATTGACAGCCACTAAGCCCACTTCAAGTCATGGTAATAAGAAAAGGGCAAGTGAGAACAACTTGAGCCAAAGACTTCACTAGATATAAGAGCCCCTTGACAAGTGATGGCATTAGGATAAAACCATCGCACAATGTTACATACATGCTGTGTCCGTGAAGACACCAAAAGGAATAGAGAAGAAATAATGGGCTCAAATAAAAATAACTGAACGGCCATACCCTCTAAAAATCATATACCACTCATCACTGCTACATAGAGAAAACCGCATACATGATACAAGCCGTACAAATGTTGAACACATCTAATATGGTGGGGGTAACCACCCCACCACAGAAAGACGCGGAGAAAAGGAAGAAAGGAGAAAAAAAGGACAGAAGAGCGTGCTCCCTAGATAGCATTACACACGGATCGAAGTGCACATGGTTGGATAGAGATAGCATTAAACCATAGTGGAATGAGAAGCCTTTATATTACTGGTAGTACATCATTTGTTGGGCAGCAGCAACATTCTGAAACCCACCATCATATATTGCCTGGCTTCCTCCAATTGCCGCCTGTTTAAGAGGGTGCTGTCCTTGGGGATGCATAAGAGCATGTACACCACCCATCTTGCTCATCGCCAACTGTCTCTCATATGCCAGAAGATCAGTTGCAGAGAGGCCTGGCAGAGTGGCAGCTGCAGGTGGGGGCAGAGGATTTGATGCGGTTCCTGGTGGAGTGGGCTTGCTGCCCCAGGAGCACTGTATTGAAACATAATTGGCGATTGGTTCAAAATGAAATGTGTAGCTTACGTAATGAGCATCCAAGGAAACGAAAACCGAAGTAAACGTTGATTTTGACAAAAGTCACTCTGATTAACCGGAGTCAAGACTAGAAACTGCAACAAAATCTGGCAATCCTACCTTAATTAGTTTGCCGCAGAGAATAGACTGGGTATTTCCCAGCTGAATAGCCAGAGCTGCTTCGGCATGAGTACTATACCTCACAAATCCAAACCCTTTATCCCTTTGGACACGAACCTCCTCTATCACTCCTGCCCCAAGAGCATGGAAGTGGCGATGGAGATCAAGCTGGGCAACCTGCATAAACACCAAAATTGTGCTAATCAGCAGCAGCAGGAGCAGCTTCTAAAGGATTCAAAGATGCAGATCAAAAGTCAACAGAATCTACTTGTTTTTTAAAAAAAAATGGGAACAATAGTAATATACACTATACCCTTGAGCTAAATGTTGAAAAGGAGAAAGAGAGAAAAACAATAAGAAAAATAAACACAACTTCTCCCCCTTTGTTTTTGGGGAGGGGACGGTAGGGGTGAATGCAACAAGTGATACAGAGGGTTCCTTGCCTCCGGAGCAAGATTGCCCACATAAACAGTAGTATATTGAGGATTGTTCTCTGGAGCATCACTGTTAGTTGTCTCTTTACCATCTTCTGCACAAGCAAAGTAAAATGTTACCCATCCTATACCATCAATAGCAATTGGAAAAGACGGGAAAATTGAGATTAAAGATTAACTAATGCACTTGCTCTTTCAGAAACATCGAGGTAAAATTTACTCACCTGATGAGCCATTTGTTAGTTCAACTACACTTTTAGTGTCAGAGTTTTGCTTGTCTTCATTGGAACCAGCACCTTTTGTTGCCCAGTTGCAGCGAATTTGCCTACTACCAAGCCACTTGCCTGAAAAGACAAAAGCAAAACAACATTGCTATTTGAGAAGACAGGAAGCACAGGACGGTAGAGACAACAATGGTCTATCTGATTTCGTTTTAATCTTTACATTTAAAAGAAGTGAACAGAAATATGTTTAAAAGCTGCATTTAGAAGCACGAAACAAGTAAATACTAGGCCCTTACAGAATCAGGGGCGCATTAGAATATACAGCGGTGATAAAATAACATATAATATTTTATATATCAAACTCACATTATCTTATAGCCATTATAAGTAAAACCAAATAACAATGGAAGTCAGAAACAATTAGACAAAAAAGACCCGGGATCCCCTATATAATGTGTCTTTGTAGCACTGCTTTAAAAACAAGAAACAAATAGCCCTACTCTCTCACAGAATCAAGAGTACTGAAAATATGAAGCAGTTGTAAAATAACTGAAATACAATTTTTCCATCCTGCACTGATCTTTTAACCGTTCAAATAAAGACCAACACACAGACAGCCACCCCACTTTCTAGTATTCCACAAATGACATCCACGATGCATCATTTCTTGAAGCTACAATCTTATTTTAACTTCGAATTAAATTATCACATATTAACGCCCACTCACACTTCATCTTATGTTAAAATTGGAATTGGAATAAAGATTTCCGAAGACAAAGAAGCATGAAGGTGAAGGAACTTACCAGTCAAATCATTTATTGCGCTTTGAGCATCCTTTTTATAGGAAGAGAGAGAGAGTGTGTGTGTCAGAATAACAGTTAAGAGAACCTTTAAACTACAGAGAAACTTTGGGAAAAGGTTCTACAATAGAAAGTGTACCTGTTGATTACGAAATGAAACAAAACCAAACCCCCTAGAACGCCCAGTCTTCTGATCCCACATTACCCTTGCATCTCTAGAATCATACAAAAGATGAACTTTGGTAATCCATGCTAAGAGATCAACCACAACATTATTTCATTGTAGGATTGTTGTAAATACTTTGCTTTGACCCTTTATATAAGAACCCATTCATTCTGTCTCTTGCATTAAATGTATCTTTAACCAAAATACTCTTAGTAAGTGCTAAATTTTTCCAGTAAAACCTATTCCTAGTTAACACGTCTCATTAAATGTTGGGTACAAATAAGGAAGAGTAGCACAAATATTTGACACATTATATATAAATAACTAAATTAACTAATTTTCTTAATCCTAAGTAATTCATGAAAAACATCCCATACATAAGACCAGAAAGAGTATTGCCTAATCCAGAACAAAATGAAAATGCGACAATTTTGAGCGGACACTGCTCCAATTTCTTGCATATAAAATAAACAAGAATTTATAAAGTGCAATGAAGCTTACGAACAACTGGGGTAAACAGAAAAGCAAGCAAACAATGTAGCATCAGTGACCTCAGGGCTGAGATCACCAACAAATATGTTGTAATGACCTGCAAATCAAAACAAAAATATCATAAATAACCGAGTTTAAAGTTTCTAGAGGATCAAAGTCCATTACGATATATATATAAGCATAAACAACATGGAACTATTTGTCAACCTGATGTATCCTCTCTCTGACCGCTAGCATATGCCCAGTTAACTTTGATGGGCTGCCCAAATCTGCGAAGCAACATTAAAATTTTATCAGAAACCCAAACCAAATTAACACAGAACTGTAAAGAGTCATACTCACAAGTGCCTTCCATTGAGAGTTAATATGGCAAGAGCAGCTGATCTTCGATCAAAGTAATGGATGAATCCATAGGAAGACTGCATAAAAGATGCCAAGCCATCAAAGAAAAACTTGAACTCAGACGATACTCTAAATGAACCAAACAAAACATAACCAGATACATATGCAAAACCTACCTTCTCCTTTCTGATAAGTTTACAACCTTCAACTGGGCCAGTACTTGCAAAAACTTCTTGGAGAAGTGGTTCAGTTACCTGTGTATGTATATTCCCAACGTACCTGCATATTCTCAAAGATCAAGAAACTAAAATATTAAGAAAACATATACAAAGAGACAAGAAATCAGAGCACAAGTAGATAACTTTGGCAGGAGAGCAAGAAATAACAGAGTCACATTTCAGTACAATGTACTACTATTTTGGTAAGAAAACTAGCAAATATCAAGTTTATCAATATTAGTAATACATGCTTCTAATACAAATCATGATATCAAATTAAATAAAAGATAAAAATCTAGTAACAGGTACCTAAGCTTGTTTGCACCTCAGGCATAAAGCAGTCAGGCAAAATAAAAGAAAAGAAAAAGGGAAAAATGTCAAGACAAACACTCACACACTGCGGCAAGTACTTGGATCAAAACCAGGAGGCAGATTTCCACTTGGAATTGGTTCAATCTGCAAAACGAAAATGTGAAAAAGAAAAGAAAAGGAAAAAGGGGAAACCTCAAAGTAAAAAGTTGGTCGCCTACCTAGAAGTACAGTAGTACAACATCAAATTGGATGAATGGGTAGGGATAAATCATATAACCTAACAAATAAATAAATCTTATTGCTAATTAACTAACTAATACAGGAAAACAAGACCAGTGCACTGAACTTTAATTCTTCTTGAATTCCTAGTAAGCTTTTGCAAAGATGCAGAGCTTCCTAAATATAGAAAAGAAAATTGATTTAAAAGCACTACGAAAGAACGGAAAAAAAAATCTCGAGACTTAGGATAATTGCCAAATCATAACACACCAACCAATAACAACTAAATTATTCAAAATAAGTCAAAAAGAATCATCTAATTTTGCTACACAGGTTCCATCCCAATTACGCAAAGTATAAACAGTTCCCTGGGCAGCAGAAAAGAACACCACGGCTCACCAGTCACAATTGCACGTGCATTGATTTACTTAAACCTTACAAACAAACCAGAATTCTTGACAAACTACAAAGGCATGCTAGGGTCAAATCATGCTTGAAATTCTTCCAAAAATTTATTCATCTTGATCACTTTTTCCATTTAAGCAGGATAAAACACTTTTATGCTCAAGATTTTTGGGAAGAGCTAAACTGAGGACCAAAACCTAATTACCTCACAACAATACTCAAATAGTCAAAAATAAGAAACTCAGACGACAAAGAAATCATAAATATCTATTACAAGCATGAAGGATTGAGCATGTTAAGAAAGAAATTGGGCGTTTAACCCATTTCCAGCATCAAAGCACTCATCTTTAACAGCTTGAATGAAGAATTAAACCTTTTTTCATACCCAAGACAGCGAGTCCTCTTGCAGAAACATGTCATAACAAACAACTTCCACACCTCAATTTTCTTAAAACATTTTCTCATGGAAAAAAAACAGAGACACACACACACACACACACAGAGGCGTAATGATCTACAATTTCTTTTTCGGCTTTAGCTTAGGTAAAAGCCACTTTCAAACTATAAAATCACGAACTTCCAGAAGGCATAAGCATGAGTTTGATTCTCTAAATCTGTATCACTACTTAGAATTCCAAGACCAAATAACGGCGCAGCATACGCCCTGCCATCCGGAGCACGTTATCTAGAAGCATTCACATAGATGAGAGGAGGATGAAGCAGGAGCTTAAACAAGATAAGAACAGCTGACTTATTTAAAACTAGAAAGCTGCAAACCACCACCGCAGGGAAAACAAGAAAATACACAATTCGGAAAAAAAAAATCAGGTGAATGTCTAGAGATAAGCAGTGAAAAACTGAAAATGAACTAAAGTCTCCAGACCTTTAACATATTTTAGTATGCTTGAATAAAGCAGGTTCCCAAAAACTTGGAAAAAAAATCAGGGTGAAACGTTTTCACAGAAAAAAAATCCGTGACATACTCCCAGCCAAGTCAGTGTTTAATCACGCACAACCATTACAGAGACGTGTCCGTAACACTAAGATGTTACTTCAAAATTGGGCATTCGACTACAATCAGGACGGAAGCAGCCAAGAGCAAGAACGGCCACGAAATGAAAAACTCACAGAGAAAAGGGGAAACAGAAGAAGAGAGAAGTGACCCTATCAAAATCTAATTTCCTAAAAGCAGCATTGATTAACATATCCAACTACAAAAGACCATTCGCACAGCAAACCCAAGCAAGCACATTTAACCCTAGGTGCTAAAACCAATCCCGTAGAGGACTGCAAAGTTCGAATAGCAAATTAAGAAAAGAAACAATCCACACAAAAGCAGCAGAGATCAAAGCAAATTAGGAAATGGAGAAAACAAGAGAGGCAAGAGCTCAAACCTGGGGAGGAGCTAGGAGGCCAGGGTGGTACAGAGACTGTTGCTGAAGAAGAGCTTGCTGCATCAAAGCTTGTTGCTGCTGCTTCAGCCTGTGATTCTGCATTTTTTCTGGGTGATGTTTTGCGTTCGAGGTCGGGTGAGATGATTAGGGTTTGGGGGTCCCGAGTCTGACCCTCGAGAAAATAATGAAATGAAAGATGAGGGTGAGGCCTCCGAAAACCAGAGGAATCACCTGCGGCAATGTCCAGGACTATATATAAAGAGCTTTCGCTCCGCAGAGCAGTGATATTATCACCGCAACAATGCGATTCGCTTTCCAACAACCAATCACGACTTTATTTTATGCATTTCATTTCATTTTCTTTTTTGCTTCATATTCACCCTAAATTCTAGATACAAATATAAATTTTTTGACAAAAACGGAAAGAAACATGAATTTTTGAGAATTTATAAGGATGTGTTTGTTTTCGTTTTTTATTTTTCTGTTCTCCAAATAATTTTATTTTTACGAAGAAGTTTTGGAAACAAAAAATAAAACAATTTGTTTGGAAAATAATTTCAAAAAAATCACATTTTGACAAGTGGTAGTTGTCACCGGTAATAATAGATAGCAGATAATAGATGAGTAGAGAAGAAAACTTTTCTAATTTTTTAAAACAAAAAATAAAAAACACAAAAACAAAAATAAGAAAACATGTTAAAATTGTTTTTTTTTCCGTTTTTAAAAACATGTTATTATTTTTTATTTTTAAAATAATTAAATAAAAATAAATTACTAAATAAGTTTTTTTCTGTTTTTAAAAATAAGTTTCTTGTTTTGAAAAAAATTATTTATTTTTAAAAACAGAAAAATAAAAAAATTGTTTGGCAATTTGTTTTTAGTTGATTATTTTAAAAAACAAAAAAACAATAATATATTTTTAAAAATTGAAAAATCAAAACAACTTTTACATTTTTTTAATGTTTTTGTGTTTTTTATTTTTTTGCTTTGAAAAATTAGAGAAATCTTCTTCTCTTTTCCTCTACTACCTACTACTTATTACTACCGATAATAACTATCACTTATCAAAGTATAATTTTTTTATATTTTTTAAAATGTGATTTTTTAAAAATTATTTTCTAAAAAACTTTGTTGGCTTTTTGTTTCTAAAACTTATTCTTAAAAACAATTTTATAAAATTATCTTGAGAATAAGAAAACAAAAAACAAAAACATACGGGCTCTAGACAAGACAAATTATTGAGCCTTTTTTTTTCCCAACAAAATCGCTGAGGAGTATCAATTGTTCTTGGGACTCGGCCCAATAATGTTATGGGCTCGGTACTCGGACACATGGACCAACGTCCAAAAGAATCCATAGGCCGAAAGAAAAATGAACAACAGAACCCATACATGAATAAGACATGGACACGATCCTTTCTAAAGTCCAACTAAGTACATCTTATTTCCGAGCGAATATAAATTTCTAAAACCATCCATGAAAAACACCAAATAGATCCGCCTAGTTTCCACAAAAAAAATGAGGGAATCTTTAAAAAAAAATTCCTTTGAATTTCAAAATTTTAAACCATTATTGTTTACTATTTAATTTATTCTTTATTTTTGAAATATTTTTATGTAGGCTTTCGAAATAGTTAGAATGAATTTGAAAAATAACATTAGGAGTAATTTGATAACTTCTATTATTTCTATTTTATTCTAAAGAAAAATTGAGTATATTTTAAAACTAGAGAAATTTTTCATATATAATTTTTTAAAAATTTAAATATTTTAATATACCTTTTAATATAATTATTGTATTATATGTAATCTGTAGAATTAGAGAGGCTGAGATATAATTTGCGGAATTTGCAGATTCGGTAATCTCAGATAATGTATACGGAGCAATTTATAATATCTCTGCGTTTTTCCCGCTTGGCATTACACCACAATTCATAACAATTTAAAATTGCTCTTTAAAAGATACTTTAAAACAGAAATTGTACCACAAATTAATTTATGATAGCAAGGGCTACTAATTAAATATAAAATTTTAATCAACTTTATCTCTCAAATTTATAATGTGTTTTCAAAAATATCCTTTGATTAATTTTTTTAATATCTTTAAATTAGTTATCTAACTTTTATATTAAGGACTTGAGGTAATATATTAATCGTTGTATTTTTTTTTCCGTTTCTTTTGTATAAGGACAAATGTATTTTCTTTTTTCCTCCGTTGGGCTTGGTATTTCGTTGTCATAAATTGCGTTTGCTCGTTGGAAGAATGTGTGAAATCCAATCAAAGAAAATCCCCACAAGTTTAATGTGAGGTGTGAACACAGGACCCCGGCGGTGTTGTCTAAATTTATTCCTCAATTTTTTTTCCAAGTGGAAAATGATGGCCAATCTGGTGGCACGTCTTTGTCTTTTAAATACTATAAAAGAATTAATCTTATGAAATGGAACACAAAAATAGAGTAGAGAAAAATGAAGACAAGAAAATAATAGGACTATTGTATTCCTTTTACTTCCCTCACTAAACAAATAATACGTCTTATTTATAGACATAGTCTTATACATAAGTTATACTTGTTCTTGAATGACAAATGGTGGATAATCAATCTCATGAATATAAGTAGAGGTGAGTTACAAAATTAAATGGATAGCGATGAGGTAATGGAGTATCAGAGGAGTAATGCATAGTAAAAGTGGTAGAAGTTATGTGGTGAAGTTAAAGATAGAAAAATAAATATTCATAATAATTAAGGATTAGTTGACCAACATTCCAATCTGTGCTTTCCAACATAAGCACGTGAGACATATTAAGATAAGAAGATACGAAAGTAAAGGGTAAGTCATTAATTTATTCAAAACAAAAATTAACGCAATTGTCAACGAGTCAGTTCATATCTCAAAAAAATGTATGTTTGAATATCACTGTTAATTTAACAATTTTATTTAGGAATAATTTACAAGTACTTCTATAAATACTTTTTGAGTAATGAGATGTGTATGAATATTGATGAATCCAACTCCCCTAAACTTTACATAACCTAGCCCCAAAAAAATATATTTTTAGCATCAGATAATATTTTCTGGTATAAAACCTACAAATAATTTTAGAATCATACTCTAGAATGGCAATGGAAAAATAAAAAAAATATTTTGATGAGTTAAACAAGCCTTGCCCATTCATGAAATTCTCACACTTGCATTAGAATTCAAACCCATGCTCTTATCCAAGTAAAAGTCAAGCATGTGCCATCTAGATATCCCAGCACTTGAAAATATGGAATAATTTCTTTTTTCAATATTTTCTTTTATTTTTTTTGGAGAATGTTGGTGGTAAAATATTGAACAAATTAGTTCGCCAACAAGTATGATGCCTGACTTATTAGTCCTAAATGCTTGAAATCTGGGAAATAGAAGGCCCTTTACAGGGGGCAATCGTGAACTTCAGAGTGTCTTCCCCATCAAATCATTTTGTGCAAGGAGAAACAAAAGCAAGCTCTTGCTATACCATCATCAAACAGAGAAAATAAATGAATCGATAACAATCATAAGAAAAAGAACAGTCAAGCAGTCGCAAAAGCAGATATCATCAATTAATCATGCTGTTGAACATCTGAAAATAATAAATCTCATTGATGGACCTCGTTTTTCTGATGGTTTGGTCCCAATAAATGGACCCAAATTCTAAATAATACAATTGATAAATACAGATAGAAATACTGTATGTATTTAATATGTATGAAGGCCCAAAAAACATCTGCAGAAAGGCCCTACCACAAAATGACGACGACGACGATATATTTTTTGGTACAGCGACGATGATGATATAGTTAAATAGGAGCTTTTGATAGTCAGAACTGAGAAGGCCCTGTATAACCTAATTTGATGAACTAAACTGCTAAAGCACTCTACATGTTAAGGTCAAATGATTTGGAAGACTGGCCCTGATCAGCGTCTCCTCCCGAACTGCTTCCATCCGGCTTTGGATTATTTGGACTGTTCAGCTGGTAAGGTCCTTTAGCAATCACCCTGTAGTGCCAGCAATTACAGATAAGTTTGGGATAGACCTCTTAAGCAAGCAAGCAAGCAAATTCTTGGGGAAACTCAAACTCCAAAAGATAAACAGATAATCGGAGTTGTAAATATATTTAGTATACTTTATCGTGAAACAAAAACTTGACACGCTTCCCGTGCAGGGCACTCAAAACTAGAGTTAAGTTAACCTATATTTCTTCTCATTCCCCGGGTTTTGAACTTTTTTGGGCGAATAGCATGGTACCGCACAGTAAAGAATCTTAAGTTGGTGTTTAAAAAAGCTGTTAAGAAAAGTTTAACTTCCAAGGAGGTGAGACGCTGAGACTTTTCCAGCGCTTGCTGTTAAGAAAAGTTTAACTTCCAAGGTGAAACACAGACTTTTCCAGCGCTAAATTTCTATCTTTGTTTGGAGATATTCATTAGCAAGGTAAAAATAAATATACTAACAGTAATAGAGACTGGGTTTCCCTTAAACAAGGTTGACAATTTAAACCTGGAAAAAAAGAAAAAATCACGCTAAGAGAATCGCCCTTAATTTAACTAGGGAATATCAGTTATCAGGTAACTGTATTAAAAGTTATAAGAGATGCACAAAAATTCTTTAAATAGCTCTATCATGCGATGTTGAGAAGTGAAAATCATATGATTAGTCTGCATAAATCATATACCTATCATATTTCAATTAGAACCCTATGAGCAAAGGTACTGGAACAACTTATTTTCCCAACAAAAAAAAAATCTTATGGTGAAAAAGCTTAATCTCTCAAACGGCCAAGCCTTTCTTCGCAGGGTGCTGCTATGGAGAGCTCTGACTCTTTAAGAGAGTGGGCTCGTTAAAAGCTCTCCGTAGCAACATCCTTCAGAGGAAAGCCCCGTGTTCATTCATATTTAAGTAACTCAATTTATCTTTTCAGATCAAATCAAAGAATCTCTTATAACCACACTCTTACCTTTCTTTTCTCTTCTCAAGGAATTTCAGAAGCGATGCTCTTCTTGGGTATCTCATATCTGTCAGAGAAAAATTTTAACCCATAAATCAGCTTATGAACTTCATAGGCTTCTCATTTTATTATCCAGATCTTTCAATCACATATCAAATAGATGAAAAAAGGAAAAATATGATAACATACCTGATTTAATAGGTGCGGGTCCAGGTTTAGGGACTGCCTGTTCCTGAGCAGTGT